TTTAGAGTAGGTTACTTCATAATTCTGTAGATAAGGTTAACTTGTAGAAAGCACAGTAAAGCAAATAATCACTCCCATTAAAATAAAAATTGGATCCTGTGGAATGCAATAGCTTATTGTCCTGCAGATCCTGACCAGCTTTTCCAGTTTTGCCTGTTTGCAGATCCATTTTAGTATTTCTTATCTGACTATAAATGTGTGGTGGTTGGAGTTCTGCTCTGAACTGACTAATATTTTATTGGTCCAGTTACATGACATATAAAAAACATTCAAAAAATTCTTTTAAATCTAGCGAGTCATGGTTTTACTTAAAAAAATTTTTTTTTAATCTTTTACCATTTGTTCAATAATTTAAATCTTCTGGACCTCAGGTGCCCTTCTCTTTTTAGGCACAGATCTGCTTAATTGATTGAGATTAGTTAACAATGGTCTTCAGGTTCTCTGATTTTACCTCTTATTAGATAAGGGGTGTGAGGGAGTGATCCAGAGAAAGACACTTGATTTTGAGGCTAAGAAGGATTTTTTTGCATGAGCTTTCACTTTAGAAGTACATATACAAAAGTGCCTAAAGGAGATAAGAGAAATTATTCTGACACTTGTTGAAATGGTAAGGCACTCTTTTAGGACTTTTGCCCTCCTTAGGGATTCCTGCCATGGGGCTTTTGCAGTCGGGGAGAGAGATTGAGCTCCTCTCTGAAACCAGCACCGGCAAGTGGAAATTTAAAGCCAAGAAGCAGGTGAGGAGAATCAGTGGATAGAGAGTCACTGAGAGAAAATATCAGGGGTAAGATAATTCCGGCTAAACCCACCTGACAGAACCTGAGCTGAAGCAGGCCAGGGTAATCAGATGTAATCACTTGGGGGGATGAAGGTGGATGAGGTATTTGATTGGATATGAGGGTTACAAGGGTAGAAGAGGAGCCCAAGGACAAGGTGGGGGTGGGGGGGTCTCAGTAGGGTCTGACTAAAGTCTGGTCAAGGAGAGAGTTTTTGTCAGTGGCTACGGTGACAACCAAAAAAAAAAAAAAAAGGAAAAAGAAGAAGAAGAAAAGAGAAAAAACAAGAGAAAACAAGCCTAGAAGAAGAATGGCAGACCAAACAGAGGTTCTTGAAAGGGTTAATGACCACAGAAGGAAAGAGATTTTTCAAGTTTGTTTATAACAGAAGGCAGAGACTGCTCTGAGACAATTTGACTATCTTCCACCAAGGAAAAAAACTCTCAGTTGGAAAAGATGAAGAGACACTCAACTTTTGCTACATATGGGGATGGCACAGGTATGTTTTGCAGCTTAAAGTGAATCCTGGGAAGGAGAGACACCCCTCCCCTGCCAGGGGGTGCCTGAGGGCGGGTGGTGGCTCTCACAGTCAGGGAGTGGGCAGATCTCAAAAGCCTCTCATTTTTGCTAATTCCTGCAAAATGCGATGCTGGGTGATTAAGTGGAGATTTATGAACTATTAGGATTGCAGTTTTCATGTTGTGCCTAACCTGAGCTGTATTTGTTAAGGGTGTGAAGGCCCTGTGCTTGTTAGTGGGTTAATCCATTAGGTTAGATCCTGTGGGAGGAGGTGGATTACTGAGGGTATGCCTGTGGAGGATATGTCGCTTGCTGGTACTTCTCTCCTGTTCAGTGTTTCCTGGTCGTTATGAAGCAAGCAGCTTTCCTCTGCTATGCCCTTCTGCCATGATGTTTCTGCATTGACTGCAACCCCTGAAACCACAAACCCAATAAGCCTGTCCCCTTTAAGTCGTGGGTATGAGATATTTTTCCCAGCGATAAGAAAGCTGATCCATACATATGTGTTCCTGGAGAGCCAATCAGGACAGATGAAAACCATCTCCCACAGAATAGGGGAGGTGTTAATGGAATGCACACTCACACCTGCAGGACTTTTAATGGCTAATCTGCAGATACATGGGAACAAGGAGGAGAACTGCAGGGTAGACCTTCTTGGGCAGCTTCTCATTTATGCTTTAGTTGTATGAAGATGGGTGGAGGAATATGACCTGTCTGAACTGTTTGGTTTTCCATCTCCTTTTTCACTATGTGTATGACTGTAAGCAAGTTGTTCAGCTTCCCTGGCCCCTAAAATTGTGTCAAAAGACCTCATCTTTTGTTTATGACTATACGAGTGATTTGTTCATGTACACTGGGAGGGGATGTAATTTACCTCCAAGACCTGTCCTTGGTTCTGTTTGACATTTCTTATGGTTGACTTAGATAATGACAAGTTTGTAGATGATACAAAGATGTGGGAGAGAATACCGATGAAAGTCTAGGCCCTGGAGTTAGACAATATAGTATATGAACCTTGAGTCTGTCACTTCATCAGTGGATTCTTAACCTCATCAGCCTTGATTTCCTATTCTGTTAAATGAGAACAGTAGTCTTTTTCTTTCTTTCTTTCTTTCTTTTTTCTTTTCTTCCCTTTCTTCCCTTCCCCTTCCCTCCCCTTCCCTTTCTCTTCCTTTCCTTTCCCCTTCCCTTCTCCTTCCTCCCTTCCTTCCTTCCTTTGTGATGCTGTGGATTGTACCCAGGGTCTTGCACATGGATCTGACTTTGTGTAAAGATTAAAGGACTATGAAGGTGTTATGTAAGAAACACTTAGCAGGTGCCTGGTACAAAGCTAATGCTCCCAGGACTTCGAGCTGATATGCTACTGCTACACTGGGAGAGGTAACATTAGATAACTTATCAGGTTCCAAAATTATTGTAGGGTAAAATCTGGCTTCCAATTATGTTTTGGGCTGAGTAGAAGTGAATGCAAAAGGAAATATAGGACCATGGTATCCTTTCCCTGGTGAGGCAGACCATGCCTGTAGAGTCATGTTGGGCCCTGTCTTTGTGGTTTTGAAGTGCTGGGATTAAACCTAGGGTCTCATGCATGTTAGGCAAGTGCTGTACCACTGAGCTACATTCCCAGCCCTAGTCTTGTGCTTTTGTTTTTGTTTTTTTTGATTGATGTAAAGCAGGAAGTCAGACTGCCTCCATTCAAGTCTCAACCCTGCCATTACACTAGCTCTATAAACTTGAGTTACTTAACCTGTCTGTGTTCCTGCTTCTTTTGTGTGGAAGTGAAAATTAAGTTGGCCAAAGTTTGGTCAAGATAGAGAAAAGAACTTTGTCAGCTTCAAAGGTTGCATTTGATGGGCTCCTGTTTACTTCAGACTCAAGTTCTTCAATCTTTAACTTCCAGGAAAAGAATGCCGCCTGGGAAAAAAGTGGGTGCAAGACTCCAAGACTGCAACGCTTTCCATCACTTAGACTTCTGACTGCCTGTCTCTAAAGCCTTACTACTTACTGATAACTCACCCCCAACTTTCTCCTAGTGACTAATCACATATAACTTCCATATGAACAGACCGCCCCTCCCACCAATCTAACATCATCAAAACAACTTGTATAACAGGACCAACAGAAAATCGTTCAAAAAATGTTACTTCATTCATTCCATCATTTCTCTTTTCCCTTTAAAAATCCCTGAATGGAACACTTGATCGATTTCTAACTGAAACTGTGTGTTCTGATTTGCAAGTCTATTCCGTACCCAAACAGAATCTGTCTTCTTTCATTTTAGCTTTGTTTATGATTTCTTGGTTTACATTTGTAAAGTGGTAATCATAAAAATTGTACTTATCTGACAGGGCTGTATGAGCAGTCAGTGGGAAGTAACTGTTCATCTCTAAAATGCTGCCAAAGGTGTCTGGCTCACAGAAACGTGTTATTACTGATGATGGTACTGTTGCCAATGTGAGTGTTTGTGACAAAATACCTGACATAAAAATTTTAAAGGAGACAAGCTCATGGTTTCAGAGATTTCAGTCCATGGTCAGCCAACTCCCTCGCTTTTAGTGTCCCCGGAGTGTGTGCTCAGAATAGTGATATGTTCTGCATCCGTGAGGCTAGTAAAATACTGAATCAATAACTCCTTTTCCCCACTATCCCTGCCCAAAATGCATACCTCACTACTTTGATACGGGCAGGCTTGCTTCACACTTTTGGGTCTTACCTAAGTTGGAATGCTCAGACTTACACTCTTTTTGGTCTCTATCACTAAATCATCTAGTCTAGGGCCTTCATTTTAGATGCACCTAAGGTCAAGCAGAAAAAACAAGGTCTGGATTCAGCAATTTCGTTTCTAGTTATATAGCTAAAGGAATTGAAGTCAGTATGTTAAAAAGGTACCTGCATTCCCATGTCCATTGCAGCAATATTCAGAGTGGCCAAGATAAATGGAATCAAGCTAATGTCCATCAACTGGTTAATGGATAAAGAAATTATATATATGCCTTAAAATCTAGACTTAAAAAAGAAGTCCTGTCATTTGTGACAGTGAATCTGGGAGGCATTATATTAAGTAAAACCACCCAGGAGCAGGAAGAGAAATATTGCACAAACTATTTATATGTGAAATCTAAAAGAAGTTCATGTCATAGAAGTAGAGGGTAGAATGGTAGTTACCAGAGGCTGGGGGAGGAGGGTAGTTGGGGAAAAGAAAGATAGTGGCAGAAAGTATGAAGTGTCAGTTTGACAAGGGGGTAAGATTTAGTGACCTACTGTACAGAATGGTGACTATACTAAATATTAATGCACTGCATATTTTGAAGTTGCTGATGATAGATTTGAAATATCTTCTTCACACAGAAATAAGTATGTGAGGTGATGAATTTGTCAACTAGCCTGATTTAATCATTCCAATTTATAAACATTGCATTATACCCCACAAATACATATAATTTTTGTAAATAAGAAATGGAATTAACCCCCTGAAAAAAACCAAGAAAGAAAAACCTAAAAAAAGAATAAAAACAGGTTTTCAAATCATGTCCTATGCACTTTCCTCCCCTCACCTGCCTCCTTCCCCACCTTGTTGGAAGTCTTTCAAAATCCAACTCAAATCCCACTTCTTGGAAACCTTCCCAGGTGCTCCAAGTGCAATTCACCTACGCTTTCTCCATACCTACACCATAGTAAATTTTGAAAGTTTATGATACTACTTACTGATCTTCTTTGTATTAGAGTCCACCATCCATGCTTCTGTCTTCCCCTGTTGGGCTGAAGAGCAAGGAGGTGTTATTTACCTTAGGATCCCACACCACACATGCACGGCACTAGAGCATTATGAAATGCTCAGTAAATCTGTTCCTAGGTCATGTAGACAATTTATCCTAGAAGAAAGAAGATTTAGGAGGAATGGAACAGACTCACTTGGCAATAAAGGATTAGATTTAGATTAACAGCTCGAGAGAGCAGAATGAAGTCCAGGGGCTAGCATTGCTAGGGAACAGATATGATCAGGCAGTAGAGAAAAAGTTCTTCATGATGACAGCTATCTGAACATAGGGGCACTTCCTGAGAAGTAGGTTATAGGTTCTCAAGCGGGGGGGGGGGGTCATGCAGTAGAGAAGAACACAGGACATACCCTTGAGACTCCCTGTTTTTTAGCTGAGTTTCAACACCACTAAAGATCTTGGTAACATTTTAGGGTTCACATGTAGTCACAGACATAGCAGGTGCCTGGGATGTCTGGGGGGATCGATCTAGCAAGATTAAGACATGGCCCAGCACTGACCAGGTGGACCTGGTTGTCACACAGGGTCATTCTGGCTCTTGCTAGTCTAGTTTTCAGAAACTCTGCTCTACTAAAAGCTAGCCCTTTCCCCTAATTCCTCCATCTTTTGCAATCTCTCCTCCCATTCCCTTTCCCACCCTGCTCGCTGTTGTGTGGTGAACAATTTCATGCTAAATTCACTACTATGATAAGTTCCAATTTCAGCTAAGAGAATTTGGGGGTGTGGTGCACACCTGTAATCTTTGCCATTTGAGAGATTAAAGCAGGAGGATCACAAATTCATGGCGTGGACAACTTAGTGAGGCCCTGTCTTAAAATAGAAAATAAAATGAGGACTGGGGAGGTAGCTCAGTAGTATGGTACTTGCTTAACAAGGCCCTGGATTCAACCTCTGGTATGGATAAACCTCTCAGTTTAGCTTCAGGTTATAGAGATGGGTAAGAGTTAATTCTTACAAGCACTTTTGCAGAAAAGTCCAAAATCTATGATTTGTAGGCACTTAGCATTGATGTTACAGTCTTTGTCAGTTTTCTTCTGATTGCTCAACTTCATTCTCAAATTATGGGTGTACTTATTCTTGTACTATTTGTGTTCTAGATGTACAGCTGTCCCTCCACATCTGCAGGGTGTTGTTCTAGACCCTCATGGATACTGAAATGTTTGGATGTTCAGGTCCATTTGATAACATGGCATGGTATTTGTATACAGCTGACACATATCCTCCTGTATACCTAGCATCATCTCCAGTTTACTTTTTAATACCTGGCGGAATGTCAATGCTATGTAATTAGCTGTCACACTGTATTGTTTAGAGAAAAATGTTAAGGAAAAAGCATCTATACGTGTCCACCACAAATGCGATGCTTTTCCCCAGATACTTTTGATTGGCAATTGGCTGAATTCCTGGATATAGAACTCATGGATGAGAGGGCTAACTTTACACCTCCTGTAAGGTTCAGGTTAAAACCTTTCTGTTTCCATGGTCACTCACCAACAAGTACATACCACTTTGGCTTTGCTCTTAGGAGCCTGTTTTTGAACCTCCTTTCCAAGATTCCTCCCTAGCCTCCCAAACCAGGGATTATGACCTCCTCCTGAACACGCCTCCCCAAGTGCATCTAGCCTTCTTCATGATGTAGTTTTGCCCCCCCTGGACCATCTCTACTGTCTGACCTCATTCAGAAGATTCTTGCTCAGGGAGAATATCTACCACACATCAGCCTGGCCGAACATACTGTTCCTACTGTATCTTCACTTATAGCATTACATTTAGACAATATCAAATGTAAGGGTGGGTTCTACTTCAAAACTTCATTCACAGCAGACTTACTTAGAACTCACATGTTCCCTCTGCAGCCATGCTCTTCATGGTGGTTAGTTTAGCTCATTTGCTCTATGGGGCTAAGGGAAGCACTGGAGCCACAGAATCTCTAGGAGTAGTAACAGTTGGGCAGAATAGGATCACAGCCTACAATAGTGTTTCCATGGGGAGATGTTTTCAGAGTTCCAACTTGGAATGCTGGAGCTCCTTTAAGTCTATAGCAAGACTGAACATCCCCCTCTCCACCACACTGAAATTTAGAAATCCCTATATTTTTTGCAGGATTACTATATGCCAGGTAGTGTAAAGTCATTATGTGAATTTTGTCATTTCATCTCCCCCATTAAGACTCTGAGGTGGTGGTACTGGGGCACTGGTGGCACATACCTGTAAACCTCCTTTCCCTAGGAGACTGAGGCAGGAAGATTGCAAATTTGAGCCCCGTCTGGGCACTTGAGTGACTTAGTGAGATCCTGTGAGGTGGGGACTGCTGCAAGCCACATTATGCAGATAAGGAAATGGAGGCTAAAAGAATCAGTCTCCAGGACTTTGCATGGGGATTCTAGTAAAGTCAAGTCATAGGAAAGGAAGCAGGATTGCAGAAGGTGGGAGGGGTGAGCAGAGGATCAGAGTAAGGGCTGCAGATGGAATAAAGATTGGGGCAGGGCCGGGAAAGGTGGAGACAGTGGGCAGTGGGCAGTGGGCAGTGAGCAGTGGGCAATGGACATGGCAGAGGCAGCTTAGCTCAGGATAGGGGATCTTTAGTTGGGTGTTTTTCTTCCTTTGTGTCCTGGCTTTGGCCAAAGGACTCTCAGATCCTGTTGTACAGACTTTGAAAAAGTGGGCAACAGCCTTCACATGGATGAGAGGGGAGGAGGAGAGAAAGGTTAAGGATGGTTGCAGTAAGAAAGAAGTGTGGAGAGGTGGTCAAGACCCGTGTGGTAGGGTCTATCCATGGCCCCAGCGTCTCACCTGTAGCACCCTCCCACTGTGCACAGAAAGACATGCACTATCTCTTGATTCTGGCCTGGGCCATATAACCTGCTTTGGCCATCACAATATAAAAGCCAGTCCCCAAGCCCAGACTTGAGAGACATTTGTTCATCACAGCTTAGTTTCTCATGCACCTCTACTATAGCCACGAGCACAGGCCTAGGGCAGCCTGCTGAGGATGCGGGTGAGACGTGGAGCAGAGTTGAATTCTCCAGTTGACCTAGAGGAACGCAAACTAGATGAGTTGAGCGAACACATGAGTGAGGCAAACATCAGCAGCACCCTGCAAATTTAGGAAAAGTAACTTTACTTTTGTATGCCTTGAATTATTTTAAAAAGTAAGTTTTTCAATAGATAAACTATCTTTTCTTTCTTTTCCCTTTCTCTCTCTCAATTGCAGATTTGAATGCATTGTAAGAAACAGTGGCGATGCCAGCTTTCCTTAATGGTAACGTCACACAAAATGATAGCACAGTATCATAACTGGGATATTGACAAGGAGACAGTCAAGTCACAGACTATTTTCATTGCCATAAGAATCCTTCGTGGTGCCACTTTATAGCCACAATCCCTTCCTCCTACTTTCACCCCCTCCTTCATTTGTGGCAACCAGCAATCCAGTTGTCATTTCTGTAAGTTTGTCTTTTTAAATGGGCCATGTAGCTGGGTATAGTAATTCACACCTGTAATCCTAGTCCTTGGGAGACTGAGACAGGAGGATCGCCTCAAGTCTGAGGCCAGCCTAGACTACATAGTGAGTTCAAGGCCTGCCAGAACTACATGGTGAGATGCTGTCTCAAGAAACTAAAAAAAATCTAAAAAAAGAAAGAATGCCATATAAATGCCATACACTATGCCACCTTTTAGCATTGACCTCCACCAATCTGCAGTATAATTCTCTGGAGATTCATCTAGGTTGTTGCATTTACAAACAACTAATTTCTTTTCAGTGCTGAATGATACTGTAAGTCCCGGACTTACAAACAGCTGAGTTGCTGACTTTCACACATATGAACAGGCCTCGCATTTGGTTTTTATGCTTTACATTGTATATTTGTGTCAAAGATATATAAGACTCACTTTGTCAGACTTATCAAGGAATCTAACTTATGAATGTCCTCTGAGAATAGAACTCATTCCTAAGCTGGGGACTTACTGTATTGCATGGCACAGTGTGTCATGTTTGTTTAACCATTCACTCACTGAAGAACATCTAGATTATTTTCAGTTTGGGGCTCTTGAGAATGAATAAATCTGCTATATACATCTGGGTACAGGTTTTTGTTGAGTCCGTTTTAATTTCCACAAGATAAATGCCCAAGAATTTATTTGCTAGGTCAAGTCAGTTGAAAGTTTGGTGATTTTTTTGTTTTGGTTTTATTTTGTTACCACAAAAGACAGGATCTCCATATGTGAACTTGCTGTGTAGCTCAGACCAGCCACAAACTCATGATCCTCCTGCCTCAGCCTCCCTAGTGCTGAGATTATAGCCATGTACCACCTCACTCAGCTTCAAGTTAGGGTTTCCTTCCACCCTGTGGTACTGTGTTTTTTTTTTTTTTTGTATTGGGAATCGAATTCAGGACCTTGCACTTGCCAGGCAGGTGCTGTGCTGCTGAGCTATATCCTCAGCCCCTGGTTCTGTGTATCAAACCCAAGGCTTTCATGTTGAGCCATATCCCAGCTCTTTTCTTTCTTTTTATTTTGAGACAGGGTCTCACTACATTGCCCAAGATGAGCTTGGACTTGCAATCCTACTGCCTCAGCCTCACAGAATGCTGATATTACAGGTGTGTACAACCACACCTGGCTAAATTTAACTTTTTTTTTTTTTTAAAGTAATTGCCAAATTCTGCAATTTTACATTCCCACCAGCAATATACAAGTGATGCATGATCCTATTTGGTCGTGATGTTTAATACTTCTGATGAATTTTATTTGCTAATACTTTGCTCAGAGTTTTATATCTAGATTCAGGAGAATGTTGGACTATAGTTTTCTGCCTTTGTCTAGTTTTGGTATAAATAGAATAAACTGCAGAGTTGCCTTGACTTGAATGTTTGTGCTCATGCCCCACCAAAATTCATACAGAAAGTTCAGTACATTGTGGTTTTAACAAGGGAGATGTTTTGGGAAGTAATAAAGTCATGAGGGCTCTGCTTTTGTGAGCATGTTAGTGTCTTATAAGGGCCTGGAGGGAACTAGCTGGGCTTTTCCCTTTTTTCCCCTCCACCCAGGAAGAAACTGCGTTCATTCCTCAGGACAGTGCAGCATCAAGGTGTTATCTTAGTGACTTTCTTCTTGCTGAGACACAATACCCGACACCCACAACTTCAAGGAGGAGGAGTTTATTTCAGCTCACAATTTGTAGTGGTTTTGGTCCATTGGCAGGGGGCTCCCAGGGCAGCGGGGCAGAGGGCAGAGTGGGAATGGTGGAGGAGAAGCAGCTTATGATGGTAGGAAGCAGAGAGAAAGAGAGAGCGAGTGAGTGAGTGAGAGGAGGAGTAGGGAAGAGAGAAAAGCTTGCAAGCCACACCCCAGGGACCTAGTCTCTTCCAACCAGACCCCACCTCCTACCAGCAAGTCAGCTCTAAACTCATCAGCTGCTGATTTCACCCGCTCACACCCACCACTTCCTAAAAGTGTCGGCTAGGAGCACCTGGGGCTTTGGGGGGACATCGAGATATAAACCGTAACCAGTGCTACTGTGAAGAACAGCCCTTGTCAGACGCCAGACCTGCTGGTACTTTCATCCTGCACGTTCAAGCCTCCAGAACAAGGAGGAATAAAGTTACCGTGTTTGTAAATTATATAATCACTGGTATTTTGTCACAGCAGAATAAATGGACTAAGACAGAGAGCTCTGTCTTTTATACTGAAGAGATTGTGTACAATTGGTACAAGTTCTTCCGAATTTGGTGTTGATGTATAGTGAAGCCATTTAGGCCTGGAGATTTCTTTGCTGGGAGTTTAGATAATCATGAACTTAATTTTGTTAGTAGTTGAAGGGCTATTCAAATGATCTGTTTCAGGGGCTCAGGGTGTAGCTCAGTAGTAAAGCATTGGCCTAGTATGTACGAGATCCTGGACTCAACCTCCAGCACTGCAAAGCAAACAAATC